TTCTGTTTTTAGTCTTTCATCTTGAATATTAATGAGATAATACATTAAAATATCAAACTACTTAATATTGTTATTTTTATATTGTGTAAGAGTAAGATATATGTAATAGTTTTATCTCTACCCTGAAATGTTCAAGTAATTTGATTAAAAAAACAAGTGCACCCTTTGGATAATCCACTATTGCCTGGGGGTGAATCTAATTTTGAAGTTGTATAAATATAACATTTAATATCTGTTTTAAAGGCCTGAATAAAAGGACTACATGACAAATGAAACTAAAAAGATTTATCATTTTTTGATGTACTGTTACTTCTATATATTTGGTTGTTCGTCCGTAACAGAATTGACGAGAAAAACTATGAACAGTTGATATTTTTATAAAATAGAGAAAATAATAAAATATCTGTATTTGTATAGCACTGAATATATCAACTTTAAAGTGTTTTCAAGGTAATTCTTAAATAATGGTTCTGTATGACAACCTTTTTTTTTTTCAAAAACTGAAATGCAAAATGTATCTCCAATTATAGAATCACCCATATATATATATATATATATATAGCATGACCTACCTCAACCCTACCCGTCACTCCTACCATCCTAGGAAAAAATAAATATCGCTCCCCAGATGATCTACATTTTGTTTTGTTTCGCTCGGACATTTGACGGCGTGTACATACGCGGTACACGTGGAATCACTCGGACATTAATGTTGCCATGCTACGTGCTCAAGCTATGCGATTTGGTAACTGTTATATCTGTCTATACATTATAAAATGCGAAATCATGCGTTAGAAAGTGCATTTTCCAGAACAGTTTGTGTTGGCCATTGTTTTGTTTATGATGTTCAGAGGCTATTGACAACCACTATCTATACATAGAATGTCATATAGATCAGTGTTGACAACCACTATACATGTCATACAGGGAGTAAAGGTATCCGACGTTGGTTCGTTCGTTATCAAGTTAGGCTGTTTAACACAAATTAGGCTGTTCACACATATTTCTAAACAGGTCTCCCTTTCAAAATAGGTTCTAAACCTATAGGTTTATAATATAATATAAGGGTATAATATAATAAATAATTAGTAGCCTAAAAACTTCCTTCTAGTTGTCATGGATACGCAACGCTCCACTCTGTAAAGCGACTGCTTGGGTGCAGTGACAAAATGTGAAATATCGTTTACTTTTCACAATGCAGCAGCGCCTGGCTCCACCCAAAAATGAGTGAAAACTGTGTTGGTTGACTTGACAATGAACAAACGAACATAGTTTTAGACAAATATATTTAGATAGCTAAGCTTTAGATAGCCGGTCCACTGATGTAGGATGTAAACAACGGCAACCGGAACCGAAGTACCCAACATCCGCCCTCAAGGCGGAAGTTAGCATTTTTCTCGTGCACAGAGTCAATAGAATAGCCATTTTGTGTTGCCCAAAGAGCCTTTCATTTAACAGTTCTTAAAAGAACCTTTTTTTGTCTTAGTGTAACGTTGTGTAGTACTCCAAAATGCAGGCCGCAGAGATAACAAAACAAAAGTCTTTAATGAACATGGAGAATGACACAGGAGAACACTTGGGAGAGAATAGGAAACTACACACGTAAATTAAGCATGAGGACTGACAAGTGAACTAAACATAACAGGGAGTATACCAGGCAAACATAATGACCGACAGGTGAAAATCATATGTAACCATAAGAACAAATTAAGATATAATCAGTTACCAAGAAATCCAAAACTAAACAGAGCAGGGAGACAAGAACTGAAGGAAACAAAACAAAATTTTAAAATAATAGACCATAACCATGGCATTTTGATTAAAGAACATTTTAATAATTCCACTATGTTCCCCTATCAAGAATCTTTTGTGCAGTGGGAAGCTTTTATGGATGTTAAAAGTTTGCAATAGATGCCAATAAAGAACCTTTATTTTTATTGAAGTACTGTCAGCTAGTAACCAATATGGTATGGATATATCATACATATCATTCTAGTTTATGATATACTGTTTCCTTATAATATCTCCACAGTATTGGCTACATTGATATTGTTACCATCCCAGCTGGGGCTACTAATATTGACATAAAGCAACGCAGCCATAGAGGCATCGCACACGATGGTAACTACTTGGCGGTAAAGGCAGAAGACGGAACCTACATCCTGAATGGGAATTTCTCAGTGTCTATGGCAGAGCAGGATATCCCAGTGCCTGGTGCCATGCTTCGCTACAGTGGCTCTTCCACCACCTTGGAGCGACTCCTCAGCTTTCACACACTTCGGGAGCCCATCACTGTCCAGCTGCTGTCCACTGCTGGGGACACCTCACCACCTAGGATAAAGTATACTTTCTTTTTGCCAAGGGATGTGCCTTTTAGCAAACCTGGCACAGAGAGCAGGATTTCGGCACATGTTATCTTGCCTTTTGGTGGAGCTGACTGGGCCTTAGGTGAATGGTCTGAGTGCTCTAAGAGCTGTGGTGCTGGATGGTCCAGGAGAAGCGTGGAGTGTAGAGATGGACAGGGATCCCTGACTTACTTCTGCGATCCCGACCTGCGACCGGCAGACATCCGGCCCTGTGGGGATCTGCCCTGTCCCATTTGGCAAATGGGGCCGTGGTCAGCATGCTCACGGACTTGTGGACCTGGAGAGCGCCACCGTACCGTAGTCTGCATGGACTACATGGGCATGGTTCTAGGGCATGAGAAGTGCAACCCAGATAAGAGGCCAGAGGTAGTTGTAGGAGAATGTTTTTACCAGGACTGCTAAAGCTGACAAAGTATACAGTGTTAGAAAATGAGGAGCTGGTGGGATCCTTTGTGTCTGTAGTGACTGAGAAAGCACTACCAAGTTTTACAAGCAACCAAAGGAGCTCTTAGACATAACAAGGGTATTTGCTATGAATTATTACCTATATCATAGTTTAATCTAATTCTCTGTGTCTTATTTTGTTTAATTTTAACCACAAAGGTAACCTCCCACGGAGATCTACCTCAGTCAATACAAGCTTCATATGTTCACAATTGTTTAGAGAGGAGTCCTTTGGAAAACAGCAAAACCTTTGAACAAACCTGCTGAAATGTTATTCAAACATCTGTCAGATACCTCCATAATGCAGTTTAGTTTACTCCACATATGGAAGTCCAAATTTAAAGATATACCAGAATGTGGTCACATAAATTATTCAAGTCAGAGCATCCACTTTCTTAAAAAAACAAAAAAACAAACACATACACATACACACACACACACACACTCAAACTGTCAGAATGGACTGCCTTTAATGTCTTCAAACATGCTCGACAAATTTATTTCACACATTTATTTGAATTGCCAGCTTTGTAGCATTCAGTCTGTTTTGTAATTATATCTACTATTTTTAATACTGTATTACCCATGAAGGCTTTCATATTTTTCATATTACAACACTGGAAGAAACAGTATTTGGAATTACAGTCTTTTACTGGCCACACAATAGCTCTATTTTAATAACATACACAGAGATAAGAGCTGTTGGAGATACAAATACGCTTATTTTACTTTTAAAATGTTACCTGATTACAACTGTTACTTTGGATTAATGATTTTAGTTTGTAATGTAGTATCAAAGTGGAACTGCCTTCTCTCACACACTGTTGTTATTCAGCCATTAGGCAACAAGCTACCCTGGTCTTACAGCAACAGTGTAAAGACTGCAAAGCGTGCCTTAAATTAAAAAATGTAGCATCCACTGGTGCACATTACTTAAAAGGGGATCATATAATATAACCGATACTGGCATATGTGAGTTTACAGGAGAAAATAATTTATTGCTAAATGTTCATTTAGAAGTGGATAATTACTGTATATTATTGGACACACACGTGCCCTCAAGATAATTGCAATTATTACTAAAACTAAAAAAAAAAAAACATTTCCTGTGAAAGACACTTTGAGATTGCATGCATTTTTGCAATGTATTAGGTTTATTTGTCTTTAGTCCTCCAAGCTTTAGTTGACACTATAAATACATATATCATCATACCCTCACACCCATCTTAAGAATAAAGAGAAAAATAATCTGAATTTTATATATATATATATATATATATATATATATATATATATATATATATATATATATATATATATATATATTACAGTAATCAGAAGTTCATCTGCAAGAGTTGTTTCAATTGCAAGAGTTGTTTCACATGTGGTTAAAAGAGATTAAATGATTAAATTTGATATGTTGTTGCAAAATTACCATGCCTATAATTTAACTGAATAGGACCCGTAAAGAAAAAATGAGAGAAAAGATTTGCATTCCGTTTGAGTCAAAAGTATACAAGTTTTTGAATGGTGCATATTTGAAACTAAAGCATTTATCCCTTCAATGAAGGTCTGCACAATGCTATTGTTATAGCTTCCTTTTACAAAGTATTTATTTTTTCTACCTTCAACACCTAAAGTTTTTTTTCCTTGATGCTGCTGTCTGTCTTATACATGATTGATGTATGAATTTAAATCAATAAAATATGTCTACAATAAAACTGTTCCTTATTCGTTTATAAGGCTTCCACATCAACACATTGAAGAGTAAATTAGACAATTGTTACCTAATTACACAAATCATTCATAAAACATTTCAGCAATGAACAAAAAAAGCTGTATACATACAATACAGAATACATAGGCTAGGAAATAAGGGAGAAAGGTAAGTTTTCTACTTTTTAAATCTTTATTAAAAAATAAATCTTATTTTAATAAGAACAGACTAGTACCTTGCCACAAATGGCATAAAACAACAGTCAGTCAGTGTTGACTTTTTCTAAAAATAAAAAAGGACATAGACAACACTTGACAGGAGAGCTTTCTAGACTATTAAGTTAACATTGCTGTCTGAAACGAAACTTAAATACTCTACAAATGGTTTTTTAAAAAAAAATTAAAATCATGCTTTTATTTTGTGTTACTGCGTCATCACAGCGCTTTTGAGGTCGTCACTAAAAATGAAAGGTCAGTCGCACAATCCCCGTGAAAAGCATTCTGGGATAGAGTATGTAAACATCAGCCTCAAACCTGTCAGAGGAGATACCAATGTATTTTATACATAATGCAATTTTGAGCAGGCTTCTTTTTGTATGACTTTGCCTTTTAATACAATCGGGGGTCCCTCGACTTCGTGATTTATCGGGATGTGACTCTGCTTTCAACAAGCGACAGTACTTCTGTGCAAGTGTCAGAATGCTAGCAGCTAGTTAGCTCGCTGCTGGCTCACATTCATGCGCTCATCATAGTTGTATAACATTTCACTGGATTCGACCGTTCTTCTTTGTTACCGGTGAGCTTGAAAACATTCATCCAACTCGAGTAATGTTTTGTACACTGTGTTGACACTGACGACGCTGTTGTAGTCATCGTCAGAGATTAGCGAGCTAGCCAATGAGTGCTGCAGGTTAGCTGGACGTTGTTTTTTTTTTTTTTTTTTTTTTTGTCTGTAAACGGTAAAGCACAAGTTTTACTATTCTTCTTGAGTATATTTTCTGCACAAGTTTTCGGTATTATCACATTGTTAACTCTTGGGTTTTTCATTTATGCAATGCATTGTAACCTTACTCTCTAATTTACTTTACACGCCGCACAATAGTAGGCCACATTCAACCTGTCAAAATGCGCAGCTTTTGGTGTGCACTAAATGCCTGAATCTAAACCTTTGGTATATGGGAATTGATAATGAGATTGTCACAGCTGCTAGAATGCATGCTTGAGATTTGTTACACAAACTAAAGCAAATCATGTGTAAAGCCACGCCCCTTTATCGTTCCCGAGTTTGACAGCCATCAACAAGATGTCATTGTGTCCTGCAACAACTTCTCCATTTATTACTTATGGACGTATTATGACTGTAATTCTGGATTTTTGATATTGACTAAGATTTCAGTGTATCTACTTTTGCCACATTTTCCCTGAGCTAAAATATTTTACATGGACAATCCACGGACAATTTAACTTTTAATCGTTATACATTCCGAAACTGACATCTTTATATTTGTTTTGGGAGACCTTCACTACAAAATTAAAATTGTCTCATATTCACTCTCAATGTTTTCCTAAATCACTACGATTCATTTACTTCTGAGGAACACATAGCTTTGACCGAAATAATATTAGTCAAGCAATGCATCATGTATAAATTTTATACTGTGTGTGTGTGTGTGTGTGTGTGTGTGTGTGTGTGTGTGTGTGTGACTCATTTATACATTTTTATAAAAATTGAAATATTGGGGGAATACTCATAATAAATAATAATATAAAATATTGGATACCAAATCATATGTTTCCCATTCATTAACTAGAGAGTCTTGTCCTGCCAAATTTATAATGAACCGATTAATCTTCTCATAATAACATAACAGTTCTTAACATTCAATGGACTTCCATAACTTTCTTTGTTGAAAATATATATATATTTATTTTTTTTAAACTTATTTCTTTATAATAATGTTAGATGTAGCCTCTGTAAACTGATTTCATGAATTCTAATTTTTACTTTTAATTTATGTTACCACATTGAACAACATTATTAAAAGGAATCATTATAAATGAGTCACACACACAGTATAAAATTTATACATGAAAAAATATAGCATTGCTTGCACTAATATTTGTGTTCCCCAGAAGTAAATGAATCGTAGTGGTTTGGGAAATCATTGAGAGTGAATATGAGACCATTTTAATTTTGTGGTGAAGGTCTCCCAAAACAAATATAAAGATGTCAGTTTGGAAATGTATAACAATTAAGTGTTAAATTATCCGTGGATTGTCCATGTAAAATATTTTAGTTCTTTTTTTGTTCTTCAATTTTTCATGGCCCCCCAATAACTCTTGTGGGTTCCTAGACAAAAAAAAACTGCAAACCTTTAAAAAGCAGTGGTTGGGTTTTTATCCGTATTTCAACCGTGTCGTCCAGTTACTGCTGGAGCAATAAATCAGAAACGTGCTGAGGCAAAGGGTTTTTTTTTTTTTGTATGGCTATTTTATAGCCCTACGCTTTCATTTGTCCCAAAAATCTTGTAAAGTCTCTGTCACTGTGTGGAATGCAGCTTACCATTCTAAGAACTCAAAGTATAATCTTTCTAAGAATTAAGGGAATTTCTTAGATGTTTCTTAGCTTGCTTCATCTCCTTGTTTGTTTAGACCCTGCAGTTGTAAATGTTTAACAGTTTGAGTCAAGGACCAAAGATGATCTCCTTCTCTCTAAACCGAGACAGACTCATTTGGACGTCTGTATAGTTTAGACTTATCACTCTGTTAGCTGTCAGTTGGATCCAAGCAATTCTAAACCAATTTTCAGCAGATGTTATTTGAGGGAGACAGGGAGTTTATTTGGGCTTGGAAAAGTTACAAAATCAGGATTCTTCAGCTCTGAATCATTCTAAGTATGTGCTTGTGCTTTGTGTCTGTATATCTAGCTCTGTTTGATCAGCAGTGAGAAAGAATATTCCTTATCAGTGACAGTGAGATTGATAAACTACTTGGGAAAAATATTTATTTATTTATTTAAATTATACAAAATATAATATTATTTAAATTATATAAAATATTATATTAAATTTAAAAATAGGCTATTGTGTGCATGGTATTTGGTGTTCCCTTCATGTATTTAACAATACTTTAAACTTCTTCATGTATTTAACTGCAAACTTACATCCTTACTTCAAATATTCAATCACGGTTTGATTACTTCAAAAACCTCTTGTAGTTTGCATATAAATGTTACCCTTTTTGTGAGACTAATGTATCTTATTCTGTCCAGGCAGCCCAGACTCCTTGTCCTACTGTGAAGGATGGGTGTGAAAACCTTCACTCACAACTCCCCCAGCCACAGCCAGGAACTTTTGGATAAGCTGAACACCCTGCGCAGTGAGGGCCACTTCTGTGACGTTACCATTCGTGTACAGGGCCAGCTGTTCTCAGCCCACAAAGTAGTACTAGCCTGCTGTAGTGACTTCCTTCGAGCGAAGCTGTCTGGGAAGCGGACTGAAGAAGACACTGTGATTGTAGGTGAAGACAACAAACATGTGCTGGATCTTCAACACGTGACTGTCGCCGGTTTCGCCCCTCTTCTGGAATACGCCTACACGTCCACCCTGTCCATTAGTACGGAGAATATCATCGATGTACTCGCGGCGGCTAGCTACATGCAGATGTTTGCGGTAGCCAACACTTGCTCTGAGTTCATGAAGTCCAGTATCCTGTGGAACTCTGCATCCTCGGGAGCAGGAGGCCCTGGTGGTGCCCTGCCCCCGGGTTTGCACAGGCCCCAAGAGCCACCTGAAGGCCATGCGAGCTGCACCCTCGCCCCTGTAGATGCCCTCTCACCGTCTCCGGTCTCATCCGAGTGCAGTGTACCGGAGCGGCCCATCCCTTTGTGCCGCGAATCTAGGCGCAAGCGCAAAGGCTTTGCGAGCCCGCAACCAGCATCCTCTACCTCTCCGCAAGTCCCCAACCCCTCTCCCTCTTCTTCCTCCTTCCCTGAGAGTTCAGCGCAGGCTCTGGAACCTTCTCTGGCCTTCTCCTGGACATACCCCTTTGGTGTGGACCGGCGGTTTACTCCAGAGAAGTCAAAATTACCCGAAGGTCTCCTGGAAGCATCCGGAGCGTCGGGGCAGGACTCTAGTGGACGGGCACTGGTGGAGTACCTCGCCTGCGAGGGTCCGCGCAGCCTGGGGGTTGGGGGTGCGGCAGGGGTAGAGGAGGAGGAAGAAGATGATGTCCAGGTGAAGGTGGAAAGGCTGAGTGATGAAGAAGTGCATGAAGAGGCTTCTCAGGCGGTCAGTGCCCCACACAGTTCTCTGAGTGACCAGCAGACGGTTCCTGGCAATGAACACACCCAAGAAGATCTACTCATCAGCCCCCAGTCCTCATCCATTGGTAAGACTCCTTACATTCATACATACAATTTCTTGATTACACTTATTCTGTGATGGGCATTTAGACGTAGATCTAAATGTAGATTATTTAACGTCTGTATTACATGGATATTACAAGGTCTACTGTTCACAAGGTTCGAGTAAGTATGTTTCTTTTTTGTTTTTTGTTTTTTTTTTAAAGAAATTATACTTTTATTTAGCAAGAATAGCTCTGAAATTAAAAATCTTTGGGAATTTCTGGGATATTTTACACAACCACAGGAAATATATCACACTATGCAAGTGATCTTTGGATATTTTATTTCAAAAATCTTTCATATTGTAGCTTTATGAAAAATTTTATAATTTTTTTTTCTTAATAATTGCACATGACAGTTAAAGGGATAGTTCAGCCAAAAATGAAAATTCTGTCAGTAATTACTCACCCTCATGTTGCTCCAACCTTGTAAGACTTTTGTTCATCTTTGGAAGACAAATTAAGATATCTTTGATGAAATCTGAGAGCTAGATCACTCCTTAGGTAATTACATCTGCAGGCCCATAAAGTTAGTAAAGACATTGTTAAAATAGTCAGAGTGACTACAGTGACTCAATTTTAAGTTTATCAAGCGTCTAGAATACTTTTTAGGCACAAAAAAAAAACAAACTATTAAATTACTAATAAATAACAACTTTATTCAACTATTCATTTTCTTCTAGGGGTGTAACGGTACATGTATTCGTATTGAACCGTTTCGGTTCGAGGCTTCCGGTTCGGTACGCATACAAACCGAACGATTGCTTGGACCATTTTTCCTGCCGGCAAAATTCGTGCTGACGCGGGCCGCGGCCAACACAACGTTGCGCAACATCAAATCGCAAGCGTAATGAAAACAGAACGAAACTACTCGTTATGTGCTTCTTGGATCGTTTATCAGTTCGGACCAGCAATATCTGTAAAGCGCGAGCCGATCTCGATCAAGCAACACTGTTACTACACAGCGCTAAGAGATCCGGTAAAGAAAAGATTTGAATTCTCCACTGAGGTAATAACATCGCTGCGAGATCTAGTGAGAAGCGTTCACATTTCTCCGTTATTAACCGTAGATCTCTATTAGATCAAACAGCGCTGTCATGGAAACCAGGAGAAACATTGTGCCGTGAATGAACTAGTAATACTTTCGTCCACAGACCAGCAACATTCACCATGGATTTAATATAGTAACACTAACTGGAACCAGTTTGGCTGGAATGGTGAAATGCTTTCAAGTACTTCACACATCTTTTTCCAGCACTTCAAAATTCAAATATTATATAAATAAATATATATTTAAATGTTATTTTTAATGTGATGACCAAAACATTATTTGTTCATCCTTCAAAGATGACCCCTATTTATAAACCTGAAAGTTTCAAGATCTAGGAAAACTCACACTTATTTAAAAATATTTTTTCTTTAAACAAATGGGAAATTTCTCTGGCATTTCTTTCTTTTTGCTGTATCGAAAATGTACCGAACCGTGACTTTAAAACCGAGGTACGTACCGAACCGTGATTTTTGTGTACCGTTACACCCTTATTTTCTTCTGTGTGAGCCTCGAGTTACAGTAGTTCACGCGAGCGCCACGATGCATGCGCGAGAACTGAGAAGATGATGCCGATGGGTCTAGATGTAGTGTTTAAAATGTAGTGTCTAAATTGTGCATTTCCTTGATTTCTGAATCGTGAGAAACCAATGAGAAAACATAAAAGTTCCTTACCAATTCCACAAAATGAATGGCTTACCTTTCACACTTTCACATCAAATGATCGTGAGCGTCATCTTCTCAGTTCTCGCGCATGCGTCGTGGCGCTATCGTGAACTCACATCCGAGGCCCACACGGAAGAAAATAAAGTTGGTACTAATAGTTTAGTAAAGTCTGTGTTTTGTGCACAAAAAGTATTCTTGTCGCTTGATAAACTTAAGGTTGAGCCACTCTAGTCACTTGGACTATTTTAACAATGTCTTTATTAACTTTCTGAGCCGGCAGAATTACCTAGCAGCCTATGGAGGAGAGATCCATCTCTCAGATTTCATCAAAATGTCTTAATTTATTTTCCGAAGACAGAATTTTCATTTTTGAGTGAACTATCCCTTTAAGTCATTAAATTGACAATGACATATTTACCTCAACTTATTAGAACTTTACTCTTTGATTATTTCATGCGCTTTTGAGGCAGTATCTGTTTAAAATAAACACAATATTGAGACATGGTTTTACTGGAGAAGAGGTTCAAAAACAAGATTTTGCTCTTTCTTCAGGCTCCATGGATGAGGGGGTGACGGAGGGTCTCCAGTCAATGCAGGGCACTCCAAACACTACTGGTCACATGGAGGAGGATGAGAGGTAAGGCCCCTTTGAGTGTCTGGGTTGTTTTTACAGAGTATTCTTTTACAGCATCTCACTTTTATGATTGAACTAAAGGGCTCCTCTGAGGAGAGACATCATTTTTTAAACTTCTCATCATCGTCTTTCCTCGTGTAAACTTATTTGTATGCAGTAGAGGCTTCTGTGATATTGTAGTGGCTATTAGGATGAAGATTTCTTGCCAAGAGGTCAGTGAAGCTAGTTGGCAGGCTTTCTGGAAACTTCTTGGACATGAAATTTGCCTTTTGAAATACTGGAAGAGAAGGGAAATGGTATGATGCAAAACAAATGGGAGAGAAAAAAAGACACTGCTGTCCATCTTAGGAGTGGGAGTCTGCTTTTATATGACAACTTGATATGCCTGACTAAATGTGTTGTATGTTAAATCTTTTTGGGGGGATCTCTGTGGATCTGTGGATAGAGTAAATTGTAGCAGTACTGCAAATACACTTTTTTTCGTGACACACTCTTTAAATTCCTACCCAAATTTACATGTTTTCCTTTCAAGGGGTCATGAAATGGAAATGTTCTTGATATTTACACATTGAAGAGGTTACTCTGCAATAAAAATATACTCCCAATTTAAAATTAATGTTTTCTGTTTCAGTATATTTTCAAATGTAATTTAAGGCAAAGCTGAATTTTCAGCAGGATTACTCCAGTCTTAAGTCCCACTTGAAATTTGTTGTACTCTTTAATGTTTTTGTAGGAAAAATTTTTTTTTTGTTATATATTTTTCAGGATTGTTTGATGAGTGCAAAGTTTGAAGCAGAAATTTATTTTGCAACATCCTTACTAAATCAAATTCAAAACAAATTCTTACTGAACCCTAAACCTTTGGCAAGATTGGAGGCACATGTGTCACCCTGTTTATGGAGCGAAGTATGTGCCTAAACCTCACACACAAACAAAACGTGTTTTACTCACACCCAATGATTCACAAACAAACTCAGTGTGGTTTGTAAATACAAAACATCACTCACAAACTAATGCATATTGTTCTGCAAATAAAAAACGTACCTATCAAACAAATACAGTATGTTTTACATATACATAGAAACGTATTTCTTCAATGACCAAAATATCCTGCAAGTACAAACTAAAATCTTTGAAAGTACAAAACAAAATTCTACACGTACAAAACAAAATTCTACAAGTACAAAACAGAATTCTACAACTACAAAACAGAATTCTACAAGTACGAAAAACTGTCACGTGACTTTTGGCACTATTTTTCCGCGTCCAGGCAGAATCAGATTTTCTCACAAATACAGTGGAACAACTTCCTCTTCTAGAACAGTAGATGGCGCTAAGATAAGGGATCAATTTGCTCGCCTTTGCCCATGGGCAAATGAGCGGTGAACAGGTGTGTTTCTGTCCAACTTTATCTATAATTAACCTTATTGAGGTTTTGGAAAATGTTTATTATATAGACAGAAATCCACATTAGCACTTAGTAGTAACGTACTCCACTCTAGGATAAGGGAATCTATAAGCTGAAAGCTGCCATCATGTTGCTTTTACTTTTTGTAAAAATGTTTCATTTACTGAATGACTCTATTTCTTTCGTTCTCCATTAATTAATGAGAACATTTCATTTAATTGAAAGGGTCCCACTTATTCATTAATTTTGTTGGAATTCAGTCAGCGTAACTGTTAATGTAATAAAATAATGAATGAACAAATCAAACAATATACAGTTTCTTCCCTGTGATGTAGGCCTATTGTCCAAATTATTATTTTGGACAGACAAATGAAACCCTCCTTTCAATTAAATTAAATGTTTTCATTATTAAGAACGAAACGAAAGTAATAGATTCGTTCAGTGTATACATAATCACTACTTTTGTCATTTCACACGCGTCTTGTAGGCTAGATTATTAATCCTGGCGCGTTCACGGCGAAGATCGCGAGTCAGCATTGTCAACTTCATGTTTTCAGCCGACACACTGACAAAGATACACTTGTTTATTAATAAACAATTAAAATATCTTCTTGCTATATTTTACATAGCCTATTCATAATCTTTTGCCGGTTCTTTGTGACAGCTTTAAGGTGCTTTATTGGCAGTGCCACCCTACATGTTACACGCGTCACCACCGCATCACCGCACCCACCAGAATAGCCCAGTTTAGTAAACAGAATTAGATGGCCACAATTCTTACACTTCTAAAAGGCAATTCAATGCGGATGTAATCCCTCAGATTGAGTAATGTAATGGAATACGTTACAAATGACATTTTGGGGCATTTATTCTGTAACGAAATACGTTTTCCCAACACTGCCTACTACAGCTGAGGAAAGTGAGCGGTGAACGGTGTGTTTCTGTATTACTTTATATAATTAACCTTATTGAGGTTTTCTTTTGCAAAATGTTAACTATTTCTTGACAAAAATCCATATTACCGCTATTAGCACTTCACTCTCTCTAGGGGAATCTAGGCTGAAATCTATGTCATATGTTGCTTTAAAAAATAATATTAATAATCTACATAAGACGCGTGTGAAATTACTAAATTAGTGATTATGTTCACTCAACGAATCTATTACTTTCGTTCTCCATACATTAATGAGACCATTTAATTTAATTGAAAGGAGGGTTTCATTTGTCTGTCCAAAATAATAATTTGGACAATAGGCCTACATCACAGGGAAGAAACTGTATATTGTTTGATTTGTTCATTCATTATTTTATTACATTAACAGTTACGCTGACTGAATTCCAACAAAATTAATGAATAAGTGGGACCCTTTCAATTAAATGAAATGTTCTCATTAATTTATGGAGAACGAAAGAAATAGAGTCATTCAGTAAATGAAACATTTTTACAAAAAGTAAAAGCAACATGATGGCAGCTTTCAGCTTATAGATTCCCTTATCCTAGAGTGGAGTACGTTACTACTAAGTGCTAATGTGGATTTCTGTCTATATAATAAACATTTTCCAAAACCTCAATAAGGTTAATTATAGATAAAGTTGGACAGAAACACACCTGTTCACCGCTCATTTGCCCATGGGCAAAGGCAAGCAAATTGATCCCTTATCTTAGCGCCATCTACTGTTCTAGAAGAGGAAGTTGTTCCACTGTATTTGTGAGAAAATCTGATTCTGCCTGGACGCGGAAAAATAGTGCCAAAAGTCACGTGACAGTTTTTCGTACTTGTAGAATTCTGTTTTGTAGTTGTAGAATTCTGTTTTGTACTTGTAGAATTTTGCTTTGTACTTGTAGAATTTTGTTTTGTACGTGTAGAATTTTGTTTTGTACTTTCAAAGATTTTAGTTTGTACTTGCAGGATATTTTGGTCATTGAAGAAATACGTTTCTATGTATATGTAAAACATACTGTATTTGTTTGATAGGTACGTTTTTTATTTGCAGAACAATATTCATTAGTTTGTGAGTGATGTTTTGTATTTACAAACCACACTGAGTTTGTTTGTGAATCATTGGGTGTGAGTAAAACACGTTTTGTTTGTGTGTGAGGTTTAGGCACATACTTCGCTCCATACCTGTTTCCTTATTTAGTCATTTAGATTCTATGGGCTATATGCACGCATAAGTTGACGCAAGGATGCTCGTCCATTTCCGGTTGTGTAGATTAAAGCGGAGGAAAACGGGATTATGGCAGAGTCTTCAAAATTTACTGTCCTCCCGTCTTTGAAATGAAATGTACATACGTTTAGATGTAATTTTATATATAGTTATGTTTATTTAATATAATTTTAAAAAGAAGCATAAACACAACAAGGGGTGTCTGTTTAACTAACGTTTCTTTAGTATAACCATGGAGTATAAAATTCAATATAAATTCTCGCTATTGCATTGTACTGTACGATCGGCGGAAGTTTTCGAGCATCCTTACACCTTCACCGGAAATACCACCGTGCATAGAGCCCATTAAGAGTTTTTCCAACTTACAATGATTACTTGAGACAAGACAGATTTTTTTAATAGGAAAGTTCTACAAGTCTCTTTGTTAGTGACTACTTAGAGTCAGTGTGTAATTGGATCATCTATTTAGCCTCTTTTCTTTTTTCTTGTTACTTTTCTCCAGGTTGGAGAATGTCCAGTACCCATACCACCTGTACATCAGTCCTTCCACCCGCCCAGGACTCAACGGTCCTGAACGGCCCTTCCAGTGTCCTACATGTGGCGTCCGCTTTACTCGAATACAGAATCTCAAACAGCACATGCTCATCCACTCTGGTGAGAAAGCCTCTGCTATTTCAGGACTCCACACTGACCGTGACAGTGCATGTGAATGCTAAGAATTATTTTTCTCCCTTCAAACACTATATTATATTCACTTTATATTCCTGATGCCTCACCCAGTGCTTAATTTAAGCCATGTGCTGCCCGATCCTGTTCCGGAAAATAAACAATTTGGAATTAACAAGTGCATTTCATGGTGATAGTGGATGTCTGCATGAGACAGAGTATGCACGGGTTTGTTTTATGCCCAGTGAGCAACATAAAGTATGGAGAGTGTATATACCTGGCAGATTATTTTATTAAAAATATGAAAAAATCGCTGTCAAAAAAATGGAACTGCATCTCTTGACAATTTTGCTAATACTAATCAGGATAGCAGGAGACATTAGATCAGTCAGATTCGGTGTAATAAAGGGGTAATGATGTCATCGGTGAGTGAGAATATCACTGATCAACTGAATGATATTTGGTCCCATCGTAGCTATACATTACAGAATAATACACTAGTATTGTAGTTAGGGCCATGCGGACACTTGTGAAAGATGCCCTTAGTTGTGCTATCACTGTTTAATGATGGCATTGTATATTCCAGGACAACTGAAGTTGTAAGGTCGGGGTCAGTCACAGCGCTTTTTAATTGTTGTTTTGGGTCAGGCAATTATTAATTTACAAGCACTTTGGCACAATGGCCATCCCATTTCTTAATGATTAATGTACTGAAGCTTTATTGTTCATATGTTTTAGGGCAGCTGAGGACAGGTGGTGAGCTTTTAGACAGAATCCTGGAAAGACTTAATGTCGGGCTCTGTAATACATAAACATCTTGTTTGAGTTTGAACAAGAGTACAACATGATTCACCTTAATCAACTAGATAGTTTATACAGAGGTGGCGTTTTGTTTGCTGTTGATTGTCCAAATAAAATTCATCACAGTTATGGACTGGTGAAACCGATTGTAAGCAATTGGTTTAGTTGTGGGTTATGTGAACTTTCACAATAAACATCCTGACTTATTTGCATGAGTAGGACAATGTTTTTGGTTCTTTTGTCTTTTATTTAGCAGTTAGCACACAACAACCTAAAACAAAGACATTCTTGTTATGTTCATTTCAGTCTCCTTCAACTTCATTATCATCTTTATTTGCTAATTATCTGTTTTCTGATATGGATATGGTAGACAGTAATCTTTCATGGATTTCCTCTACAGGTATTAAGCCATTCCAGTGTGACCGCTGTGGAAAAAAGTTTACGCGGGCTTACTCCCTGAAGATGCACCGGCTGAAGCACGAAGGTAAACGCTGTTTCCGGTGCCAGATCTGTAGCGCCACTTTCACTTCCTTCGGTGAATATAAGCACCACATGAGGGTGTCTCGCCACATCATCCGCAAGCCTCGGATTTACGAGTGCAAAACGTGCGGCGCCATGTTTACCAACTCCGGCAATTTAATCGTACACCTGAGGAGTCTCAACCATGAGGCGTCAGAACTAGCAAACTACTTCCAGACCAGGTGAGGAGGAGCTGAACATTCTAAGAAAATATGTAGAAGTACAAATTTAGTTTTGTACAGTCGGCCGTTCATCTCATGTTGAGGAGGTAGCTGTTGCGTTTTTGAATTGAGGGGGGCAGAAATTATTCAACTGTATTGAAGAATATATGTATATAAGGTGAAACACTTTACAATAAGGTTCAATTCATTGACATTAGTTAATGCATTGGGTGTTATGAACTAACAAAGACCATTGCTTTTAAATCGTTTTTTTAATATATTCTTATTCATTTGAAAGAAGCCTGTTATGCTCAACAAGGATGCATTTATTTGATTAAATACAGTTAAAAAAATGTAATAATATGAAAAAGTGTTACAATTTAAAACTTTTCTATTTTAAAATATAATTTATCCTTCAGTGTCACATGATCCTTCAGAAATCATTATAATATGCGGATTTGGTGCTCCAGAATTAATACTTTCTTATTATCAGTGTTGAAACATTTATGCTGGTTAATATTTTTTGTGGAAACCGTAATAAAAAAAAAATTTTATCATATATTTTTTTGGTAACAATCTACTGTATGTAACTTTTGATCAACTTAATGCATCCTTGCTGCGTACATTTTTTTAAATCTTGAAAAAAAAAAAATCTTACTATAACCCAAATTTTGAACAATATAAATGTATGTACGTAATACATAAACTAAGGTTAATTTATATAACTTCAACTGTATACTATGAACATACATTAATTAACAATGTGAAATAGTATATTTATAAATTAACAATAACCTAGATTAATAGTCTTTTATAATATTTGCTTATTGTTAGCTTATTCATGATACCTGTTGCATGAACTAATGTTAACTAATATAACCTTATTATAAAGCGTTACAGATGTACTTTTAAAGACTGAAGATGACAGGTTTTTCTCGTCGAGGTGTAACTGACAAAATTCTTCTATCAGATGAAATGTCTTTCCTGCTGAATTTTAACAGGTTTACCCCAGTCCAGGATAACGCCCAGTTCCATTGTGTTTTATATGGAAGACCGTTTATTACTGAATAGAGCTTTCAGGAAATCAGTGAAATCTCCTCTATTGACTGTCCTGATCCGTATTATGCTTATGTTTATTTATTCCTGAATAGCTTTAACACACGTGCACACACCCCTCAGTTATTCTTGCATTCTATTCTTAAAATTGCACGTGTATTTCTCTAAGATGTGTTCTCCAGGAAAAAAAAAAACTAAGTGACTTTCCTGTTTGAAATTTAGTATTTTCTAAATGAAATAATCACGGCTTTGATTCCATTTTGGTGTTGGACCTTGCATTAGGAAAAGAAGCTTTGCTATGTAAACAGTTGGAGCGGGCAAGGAAATCAATCCTGCGTCAGCTCAATAGGTTTTTTAAGTGAAGTTCTCTGAAAGAGACGTTCATCTGAGGTAATCTTCCCGAGGCTAGCTGTTCATTAAAGCAGAGAAAAGGGAGTCAGGTGCATTTATGCATTGAGCTCCTGCTACATGTAGACTCCCTTATTTCATTCAACTGTTTATTTGATTTAAGCCCTCTCGCTCTTATGATCATTGTGGTCTATTCATCTTTGTCAGGCACAAATAAACAGTGTCTATGAAAGCTACAGAGATGAGGCAATAGTTTGGCTGTGCCGTGTGTTTCTTAAGAGAGGGAGCGGTCATGTAGTGTAGTGAAGTATTATTATTGTAATTAGAAACGGCCAGCATTGTTGACAGAATTTTTGATGGACTTAATGTTTAATTTTAATTTTAAGATGAACAAACAAGTATAAATTGATGGGTTAAATGGATATCTCACATTGTGCTAAGGACTTTAAATTTGGAAATCATTGTCGAGACTGCGACGACTTACTGTAAAGAAATAGGAAATTATGTCATTTAGAATCTAAATCCTATTCATGGTTTATTAAGCTATCAGTGTTTGACTTGTAATTTCTTCTAGCTATATCACTTTTTCTGCCAAGCCACAATCCTCAATCTAATTTTGAAACTTCAATTTTGACTTGTAGTTTAGATAGCTGAAGTGTTTTGCCAGAGGACATTTTGCCTAAGTTTATTGCTTGACTTGAACATGCAAGGACTGGCTGTTTGTGGGGGGAAAAAAATCCAAAGAATTTTAGACTCGTTTACCAAACTTGGAACACAATCTTGAGTTAATCGTAACAAATTACTATTTTGTTTTTTGACAAACTTGCGCCTGAGTGGTTTGACATCCTCTGATTGTGGCTTCACAGAGGATATTGAAAGCAATGACTTCAAATTTGAATAGCCTATTTTTGTGTTTTAGCCCCATCAAATTTGAGCTTTTATGCTAAAAAGCCAATGTAGATACTAAGATTGTGAAGATCATTAAACTTGTCAGTTTTATGTCATGTTAAGTTCGTATTGATGGCAGTGATCATTTTCTGAACATTGGCGCTTCTCTCCCTTTTGTTGCCCTAGTGAGTTCCTCCTCCCAGACTACCTGAGTCACATGCAAGAGGAAGAGGGTCTGGGACACTTTGAGATGAGTGAGCACACCTTTGAAGCTTCTTCCTCCTCTTCCTCAGTCCAAACACCAGTTATCTCTCAAGTTTCCTCTACCATGAACTATGACAGCCACACTTCTGCACCTCCTTCCCAAACCCCAAACCCCAGATCAGGGCAGGAAGGGGAGGGCACACCAGGCGACCATCCCAAGTCCTCCGCTGCCGTTACCTCTCTAGAAGACCCAGAGGAAGATGAGGGAGAGAAAGAGAAAGGGGGGAGAAAGAAGAAAAGACTTGTGTCAATTACAATTGAGTGAAAACGTTCCATGTAAGCATGTATAATAACAGTCCTGTTGCACACGTCTCGTTACAGCTTACAAATCTGATGTGTTCCATTATCAAAAAGTATAATGCCTTTTGATATTTGTTCATTCTGATTTGTTGGGGTTACTTTAAAATTCAAGTCAAGTCACCTTTATTTATATAGCGCTTCATTCGATAGATCGTTTCAAATCAGCTTTACAGTGATGACAGGATATTTTCTGAAAGAACATCACAATTCTAAATTAAAAAAACCAAACAAACTTGAAATAAAAAATTTACTTATTTATTAGTAACCCATTATCTGTAATTATTAATCGCTAATGAATTTGTTCCATTGAACATATTATTTTTTTATTACAATTTTTTAACCACTTAGAATTTTATCGTACAAATGTGATGGTTTTTTTTGCATAACGTTGAACTATGACTGATCTGTTTTTATTATTTTTCTTCATTTTCTCCTATTTCATGTCTGCGCCTTAACATAGCAAACTGCCCCTTCTGACTGTAAACAAACCTGTTATAAACTGGGAAGCTTCGACCCCCTGAGGACCGTTCCTAAAAAATGTGAAAGACAGTCTTTGTTACTACTTCCATGTGTGTTCAGAGCGGAAACAAAACACTGAACCTGACTGGCACAAAACAACCATGAGACCTTATTAATGGGCTGTTGTGCGTGGATGGTGACTAATCTAATGAGTGTATATGTGAAGAGTAGCCCTGTTTTCCTAGCCCTCTTTTCTGCTGTGTGTAATGCTGCTAAATTTTGTAAACTGTGCCTCTTGCTCAGCTCTCCGAACCACTCGTCAATTCGATCTGAAGAGCTGTACGTGAATTCTTTTAGTTTAACATTGTTCTTTTGTTTGTGACAGATGGATGAAAAGGGTCACGTTTTAATAGAGTGGAAGGTGATATTTCCATAGCCTTTCCCATTTTATTGCTGTTGGAATTATTCTATGGAATTTTTCTCCATAACTTGATGCCATAGTTGTATGTGCCTAACAGTCTCCAAAACAAAGTTTATGAACATCTTGTGACTATGGCATGAGCCTTGATTGAAGATATGTAGCATTTATTTTGTTTGGTGATTGTAATGATCGTGTATCTTGCGTATAAACCCGCTTCCTCCATGTGATATTGCACCTGGCAATCAGTCTCGAAGCTGCTCCATTCCAACATGATTTTGTAGGGAACAAACATTTTTAATAGGCTTTGTGCAATATTGTTTCGGATGATTCGCGTATTACAAAATGAAATGATGTGAATAAAAACATTTTATACTGCAGTGGACAATGAGCTGAACGAGCGAAGATAACGAACTACAGGAGGGGCTTAGTCGAGGGAATAAGCTAAAGCATGTACCCTTCGATAAACAGTTCAGATGAAATACAAGGAGCGAAAGAAATCATATTATGTTACATATTATTACATATTATGCAATATGCTCCGATGTCATTTCCCTCGAGATGGTCTAGCGCTTATCTCACTCTCTCCACCGCGGGCTGTTGCTCAAACTCAATTACTTCATAGTCTGAGAGTTTGTAGTGACGCATTTATCCATAAGACAATATCGGCTGTCTGTCCCAGATTGCTCTTTGTGCTACTTGCATGTTTTCCGTGCAAACAGAAGTATGGGGGGGTGAATATAGCATGGGTCGATTCGTTTGTTGGATGTCGTTTCAGATATGTGCAACTACAATTTTGTATACAATATTCAATCTTTGGTGTTCAATTGTTTGAGCAGAAAGAAAACGTGGTATTTCAGTAGTCATAATGCTTTTTTTCCTAAATCTGCATCGATGACGGTTACCTTGTAAAGTGTCAATTTGTACATTTGTAATATCAATGTAAGTGTGAGTTATTTGATTGAGTCTTGTAGTGTTCGCTTTTGTGATCATGTCTTAATAATAGTATATACTCTATATGCTTTTTTTAAAGCCTATCGTTTTAGTGGTATCTTGTGCCTTTGGATATTGGATCTGTATTGTATTTTAATTGGCATAAACATTAATTGATATGAATTCATAATGTTTTGTAGACAGAATGCTGGTAGACTTCAAATGTAGCTTGAAACTAAAAATATTTTTGAAGTGCTATTCGACACGGTTTTAACTGTACGCTTTGTGTTTATTTTCATAAAGAAAAATGTATTAGTCATTTTGTATTCTTTCAGTGGTTCTTATCATCCGTTTCTGTGCCAATTCAGATTTATTGAATGATGTTTTGTAAAAACATTATGTACATTAAGATTTACAGTAAATGGTTACAGCCTGAGACTTCAAGTGTAAATTCATTGCTTCCATTTTGTTGCTGAATAGTCATTCAGGTTTGTTCTTAAAATAGTCCTACACATTTGTACACTACCATTAAATTTTGTTTTTGAAAACAATTAATACACTTATTCGGCTATAGGATACATTAAATTAATTAAAACAGAGGGTGAGGGAATAAACATTTTAACCCCCTCAGACCTGAATTATGTTTCAAGTTTCTGAAAAATATAAAAGTACATTTTACCAGCTCATGAGGTTTCTATAAATTAAAACAAATGAAAAAAAAAAATATATAATCCTGTCCCACGAACCCACTATTTGTCCAATTACCCACTATTTTTATAAACTCAAAATTTCGACCCCCAAAAAATAAAAACGACAGTGTTACCCCTGTCATTTTTTTTTGGTGCGAAAAAATAAGTTTCTCCAATCTTCTTGAAACTCTGGATTCTGATAAAGGGCCATGGGACTTAGACCTGAGTGCAAAAATGGAGGCTCTAGACCCTTCCAGAGCTGAGATATTGAGATATTTATAATGGCATAAATGCTACATGGGATGTCCATATCTCAGCTCTGGAAGGGTCTAGAGCCTCCATTTTTGCGCTCAGGTCTAAGTCTCATGGCCCTCTATCAGAATCCAGAGTTTCAAGAAGATCAGAGAAACTCAAAATTTCGACCCCCCCCCCCAAAAAAACGACAGTGTTACCCCCTGTCATTTTTTTTTTTTTTTGGTGTGAAAAAATAAGTTTCTCCAATCTTCTTGAAACTCTGGATTCTGATAAAGGGCCATGAGACTTAGACCTGAGTGCAAAAATGGAGGCTCTAGACCCTTCCAGAGCTGAGATATTGAGATATTTATAATGGCATAAATGCTACATGGGATGTCCATATCTCAGCTCTGGAAGGGTCTAGAGCCTCCATTTTTGCGCTCAGTTGTAAGTCTCAGTGCCCTCTATCAGAATCCAGAGTTTCAAGAAGATCAGAGAAACTCAAAATTTCGACCCCCCGAAAAAAACGACAGTGTAACCCCTGTCGTTTTTTTTTTGGGTGCGAAAAAAGTTTCTCCAATCTTCTTGAAACTCTGGATTCTGATAGAGGGCCATGAGACCTACACCTGCGTGCAAAAATTGAGGCTCTAGACCCTTCCAGAGCTGAGATATTGATATATTTATAAGGGCATAAATGCTACATGGGATGTCCATATCTCAGCTCTGGAAGGGTCTAGACCCTCCATTTTTGCGCTCAGGTCTAAGTCTCATGGCCCTCTATCAGAATCCAGAGTTTCAAGAAGATCAGAGAAACTCAAAACTTCGACCCCCCCCCCAAAAAAAAACAACGACAGTGTTACCCCCTGTCGTTTTTTTTTTTTTGGTGTGAAAAAAATAAGTTTCTCCAATCTTCTTGAAACTCTGGATTCTGATAAAGGGCCATGGGACTTAGACCTGAGTGCAAAAATGGAGGCTCTAGACCCTTCCAGAGCTGAGATATTGAGATATTTATAATGGCATAAATGCTACATGGGATGTCCATATCTCAGCTCTGGAAGGGTCTAGACCCTCCGTTTTTGCACTCAGGTCTAAGTCTCATGGCCCTCTATCAGAATCCAGAGTTTCAAGAAGATTGGATAAACTTATTTTTTCGCACCAAAAAAAAAACGACAGGGGTAACACTGTAATTTTTTTTTGGGGGGGGGGGTCGAAATTTTGAGTTTCTCTGATCTTCTTGAAACTCTGGATTCTGATAGAGGGCCATGAGACTTAGACCTGAGTACAAAAATGGAGGCTCTAGACCCTTCCAGAGCTGAGATATTGAGATGTTTATAATGGCATAAATGCTACGTGGGATGTCCATATCTCAGCTCTGGAAGGGTCTAGAGCCAACATTTTTGCACTCAGGTCTAAGTCTCATGGCCCTCTATCAGAATCCAGAGTTTCAAGAAGATCAGAGAAACTCAAAATTTTTACCCGAAAAAAAAAAACTACAGTGTTACCCCTTTCGTTTTTTTTTTCGTTTTCGGGCGAAAAATTAAGTTTCTCCAATCTTCTCAAAACTCTGGATTCTGATAGATGGCTGTGAGACTTTGACCTGAGTGCAAAAATGGAGGCTCTAGTCCCTTCCAGAGCTGAGATATCGAAACTCAAAATTTCGACCCGAAAAAAAAACGACAGTGTTACCCCTTTCGTTTTTTTTTTCGTTTTTGGGCGAAAAATTAAGTTTCTCCAATCTTCTCAAAACTCTGGATTATGATAGAGGGCCACGAGACTTTGACCTGAGTGCAAAAATGGAGGATCTAGACTCTTCCAGAGCTGAGATATCGAAATTCAAAATTTCGACCCGAAAAAAAAACGACAGTGTTACCCCTTTCGTTTTTTTTTCATTTTCGGGCGAAAAATTAAGTTTCTCCAATCTTCTCAAAACTCTGGATTATGATAGAGGGCCGCGAGACTTTGACCTGAGTGCAAAAATGGAGGCTCTAGACCCTTCCAGAGCTGAGATATCAAAATTCAAAATTTCGACCCGAAAAAAAACCGACAGTGTTACCCCTTTTGTTTTTTTCATTTTCGGGCGAAAAATTAAGTTTGTCCAATCTTCTCAAAAATCAGGATTCTGATAGAGGGCGCGAGACTTTGACCTTAGTGCAAAAATGGAGGATCTAGACCCTTCCAGAGCTGAGATATCAAAATTCAAAATTTCGACCCGAAAAAAAAACGACAGTGTTACCCCTTTCGTTTTTTTCATTTTCGGGCGAAAAATTAAGTTTCTCCAATCTTCTCAAAACTCTGGATTATGATAGAGGGCTGTGAGACTTTGACCTGAGTGCAAAAATGGAGGCTCTAGACCCTTCCAGAGCTGAGATATCGAAATTCAAAATTTCGACCCGAAAAAAAAACGACAGTGTTACCCCTTTCGTTTTTTTTCATTTTCGGGCGAAAAATTAAGTTTCTCCAATCTTCTCAAAACTCTGGATTATGATAGAGGGCTGTGAGACTTTGACCTGAGTGCAAAAATGGAGGCTCTAGACCCTTCCAGAGCTGAGATATCGAAATTCAAAATTTCGACCCGAAAAAAAAAACGACAGTGTTACCCCTTTCGTTTTTTTTCATTTTCGGGCGAAAAATTAAGTTTCTCCAATCTTCTCAAAACTCTGGATTATGATAGAGGGCTGTGAGACTTTGACCTGAGTGCAAAAATGGAGGCTCTAGACCCTTCCAGAGCTGAGATATCGAAATTCAAAATTTCGACCCGAAAAAAAAAACGACAGTGTTACCCCTTTCGTTTTTTTTCATTTTCGGGCGAAAAATTAAGTTTCTCCAATCTTCTCAAAACTCTGGATTATGATAGAGGGCTGTGAGACTTTGACCTGAGTGCAAAAATGGAGGCTCTAGACCCTTCCAGAGCTGAGATATCGAAATTCAAAATTTCGACCCGAAAAAAAAAACGACAGTGTTACCCCTTTCGTTTTTTTTCATTTTCGGGCGAAAAATTAAGTTTCTCCAATCTTCTCAAAACTCTGGATTATGATAGAGGGCTGTGAGACTTTGACCTGAGTGCAAAAATGGAGGCTCTAGACCCTTCCAGAGCTGAGATATCGAAATTCAAAATTTCGACCCGAAAAAAAAACGACAGTGTTACCCCTTTCGTTTTTTTTTCATTTTCGGGCGAAAAATTAAGTTTCTCCAATCTTCTCAAAACTCTGGATTATGATAGAGGGCTGTGAGACTTTGACCTGAGTGCAAAAATGGAGGCTCTAGACCCTTCCAGAGCTGAGATATCGAAATTCAAAATTTCGACCCGAAAAAAAAACGACAGTGTTACCCCTTTCGTTTTTTTTCATTTTCGGGCGAAAAATTAAGTTTCTCCAATCTTCTCAAAACTCTGGATTATGATAGAGGGCTGTGAGACTTTGACCTGAGTGCAAAAATGGAGGCTCTAGACCCTTCCAGAGCTGAGATATCGAAATTCAAAATTTCGACCCGAAAAAAAAACGACAGTGTTACCCCTTTCGTTTTTTTTCATTTTCGGGCGAAAAATTAAGTTTCTCCAATCTTCTCAAAACTCTGGATTATGATAGAGGGCTGTGAGACTTTGACCTGAGTGCAAAAATGGAGGCTCTAGACCCTTCCAGAGCTGAGATATCGAAATTCAAAATTTCGACCCGAAAAAAAAACGACAGTGTTACCCCTTTCGTTTTTTTTCATTTTTGGGCGAAAAATTAAGTTTCTCCAATCTTCTCAAAACTCTGGATTATGATAGAGGGCTGTGAGACTTTGACCTGAGTGCAAAAATGGAGGCTCTAGACCCTTCCAGAGCTGAGATATCGAAATTCAAAATTTCGACCCGAAAAAAAAACGACAGTGTTACCCCTTTCGTTTTTTTTCATTTTCGGGCGAAAAATTAAGTTTCTCCAATCTTCTCAAAACTCTGGATTATGATAGAGGGCTGTGAGACTTTGACCTGAGTGCAAAAATGGAGGCTCTAGACCCTTCCAGAGCTGAGATATCGAAATTCAAAATTTCGACCCGAAAAAAAAACGACAGTGTTACCCCTTTCGTTTTTTTTTCATTTTCGGGCGAAAAATTAAGTTTCTCCAATCTTCTCAAAACTCTGGATTATGATAGAGGGCTGTGAGACTTTGACCTGAGTGCAAAAATGGAGGCTCTAGACCCTTCCAGAGCTGAGATATCGAAATTCAAAATTTCGACCCGAAAAAAAAAACGACAGTGTTACCCCTTTCGTTTTTTTTCATTTTCGGGCGAAAAATTAAGTTTCTCCAATCTTCTCAAAACTCTGGATTATGATAGAGGGCTGTGAGACTTTGACCTGAGTGCAAAAATGGAGGCTCTAGACCCTTCCAGAGCTGAGATATCGAAATTCAAAATTTCGACCCGAAAAAAAAAACGACAGTGTTACCCCTTTCGTTTTTTTTCATTTTCGGGCGAAAAATTAAGTTTCTCCAATCTTCTCAAAACTCTGGATTATGATAGAGGGCTGTGAGACTTTGA